TGTGTCTAACTCAAATGATGATAAGACATTTTTCTCTTCTGATTTCCTAAATATTTGTCTTTCCTCCTAGGACAGTAAAGGCATCCATCTGACATGGGGCAGAGACGGGCACAAGACACTCAGTTCCTATCATCCACTTTTGATAGATGGTTTAGAGTCATTCAGTCTTGAGAAAAAATGATTTCTAAATTCCTTTAATCCCCTCTTACATGTAAAGTCTAGACTTGATGGATTAGTCTATTATTGGGATGTTTTGCCAAGATCCAATGCTTAAGAATATAAGCATAAAACACTAAGGTGATTCACTAACTGAGTTTACTTGTCATCTTGATGTTATTCGGCAAGCACAAATGACTGTTTCCATGGAATTTCATATAAAGGGGTTTCAAATCATGCAGAAAGCAATAGGAAGAGAGACTTCTTCATGTTTTATTTTGAGATATAACAGAAGTGGAGAGAAAGAAGACCACATTGGAAGAGAAAAGTGGCTGCCACAGCTCTGGTTTTCTCCACTCGGCTTCTTGAGGTCAAACGTCTGGTGGGAGTAGCTTTAGAAATTCCTACATGAGGGAATTCTCAGGGTTTTACTGATGATTTTGGGAAAGGATGACTATGCTCAGTAATCCCATGCTAACACACGGTGACTCAGTTTTGTCACAAGGGTCCCAGGTGCACATAAACTCAATTTGCAAGCCCAAGTCTCCCTGGTTATTGTGTGGCATGGACAATGGGCGGAGACATATTGGTCCACTGGAAGTGAAGGGGCTCAGCTGCAGAGGACTGTGAGCTTTTTCAGCTTTAACGAGGTGCCAGAAGAGGGAGGTAGCCATGATCGTGACACTGGGGACTCTGATGGATCTGAATGTCAAGATCCAGGGCAGACTGTTTTAGCTGGACCATTAGGCAGAGACAGAGCTGAGAAAGAGGTCAAGGGCAGAGCAGCCCACAGTAGGATTGGGCAGCCAACTTGAGTGGAGGCTGTCAGGGAAGGTAGGCCTCTTGAAGAAAGCTGATCTGAAGATAAGAACTCAGCTTTATCTTCAGGATCAGGCATGGCAACGGTAGGAGACACTAGGTACAAAAACTCAGGACAGCCCTGACCGGTTTGGCTCAGTGGATAGAGCATCAGCCTGTGCACTCAAGGGTTCCAGGTTCAATTCCGGTCAAGGACATGTACCTTGGTTGCGGGCACATCCCCAGTGGGGAGTGTGCAGGAGGCAGCTGATCAATGTTTACGGCATGTTCAAGGAGGAGGGAAAACCAGATCGCATAGTGACCCAGAGCACGGTGGTGGTGGGGTGGAGAGTGAAGGTAGACAGGCAGCCGGTGGCCAGGTCATGTCGGGTTTCATAAGCCTTTGGAAGCTCAGACTTACTCATTGTACAATGGTGATTGGAGGGATTTGACTGGGTAAGTGATTAAAATGTGAAAGGATCATTTCAAATGTTCAATGGATAATATAAAGCAGCCGTGGGCATACTATGGCCTGTGGGCCGGATCCGGCCCATTTGAAAAAAAAAAAAGTAAAAAAAAAAAGACCGTACCCTTTTATGTAATGATGTTTACTTTGAATTTATATTAGTTCACACAAACACTCCATCCATGCTTTTGTTCCGGCCCTCCGGTCCAGTTTAAGAACCCACTGTGGCCCTCGAGTCAAAAAGTTTGCCCACCCCTGGTATAGAGACAAACCCAGAAGAGGTAGTCAGTCTAAAGACTATTGTAGTAGGTCAGTTGGGAGAAGATGGTGGATGTAAGTTTGGTGGCAATGACACTGGAGAGAAATGTTTGGATTTGTGATATAGTTGAATAAAGTATAAAATCCTATTTACTAATTTCAAAAATGAATTTTTGAGCCATTGCGTAGGGTAGATTATTCTTTTCTTTAGCAAAGAGTCCATTTAGAAAATATAAATTAGGTAGTTATTTATATAAAATACTTCATTTATTTTGGGTAAAATTTACCAAAGGGGAAATTATGGAGACATATTTATATTTTATAATTGGTTTAATTATTGTTGAACCAATTGATTAAAGATAGTATAAACAATTACAAAAACACTGTATGATATCCTATCTAATAAAGAGGGAATATGCTAATTGACCCTCACACTGTTGCAAAGATGATGGCGCCCACAGTCAATAAGGAGGGAATATGCTAATTGACTACCCTGCCCTCAAAGATGGCAGTGCGCATAGCCAATAAGGAGGGAATATGCTAATTGATTACCCCAGCCTCAAAGATGGCAGCGCCCACAGCCACAAGATGGCCGGCAGGGGAGGGCAGTTGGGGGCAACCAGGTCTGCAGGGGAGGGCAGTTGGGGGGACCAGTCCAGCAGGGGAGGGCAGTTTGGGGCAATCAGGCTGGCAGGGAGCAGTTAGGCATTAATAGGGCTGGCCAGGGAGTGGTTAGGGGCAATCAGGCAGGTGAGCGGTTGGGAGTCAACAGTCCCAGATTGTGAGAGGGATGTCCCACTGCCGATTTAGGCAGGGATTGGGCCTAAACCAGCAGTCAGACATCCCCCAAGGGGTCCCAGATTGGAGAGGGTGCAGGCTGGGCTGAGGGACAGCCCTGCCCCCTCCAACTGCATGAATTTTGTGCACCAGGTCTCTAGTTTATAAACAAAAGGAATAGTAAAATAGAAAAATGGAACATTATTTATCAAGAAGAAAACTTTCTTGGACTCTGAATGATTTTGTTAGAAATATCTCAGATTTATTAAAAATTGAATTCCATGAATAAAAATAAATTCTTTAATTCAATTCACCAGATTAAAGGACATTGAATTTTGAACAAATAAGAACAATTCCTTTATGCAGTTCATAGTAATAAATGAGATTTGCTGCCAGAAGAGGTCACCGTGCCAATTCCTGTGGCTGTACTTTAAACAAAATTTTATGACTTCAGCATCACTACACTGGGCCCTTCAGTCTTCTTTAATTCAACATACATTTTCCTAAATGTGTTCTGTAACAGCTGCTTGGTGGTATGGCTAAAGGGGTGACTAAGACACTCTTCTGACCTTGAAGGGCTCAAAGTCCAGTGGAAGAAGATAAGAAAGAGGAATGAAGAAATTTGTACAAAATGTCTCGT